AGTCCAAAGTTTTGCATGAAATCTAAGCATCAGTAGATAGCAGTCATAGTAACACCTGAATAAATGTTTAAATTAACAAATCAAAATCTTTTTAAAATATAATATGGTTATTTTTTATCATAACCATGTGAACTATTAAATAATATATATTTATATGCAACTTCATAGCATACATTTTTTATCAACTTATGTTGGTGGGGTAGCTACAGCTAGGAGTCATGGGAATTACTAAAAGTGTGAAAAAACTATAAATGTTTTCAGTTTTCCAAAGGCTGTACATTTATTTAAAAGTTGTTTTAAATTTAAATTCCCACAGATATTTTAGTTTGGATTGTTGTTATGCCGTGTAATTATCTTCTTTATTGCTTCTAAACACCTTAGTACCTAAATTTATTTGCTTTGGTACTGCATAAATCCTAATCATGAATGGAAATGTTAGAAGCTCTATTCAAAACAGAGTAGAACATATAATGAAATCCTACTAAGACGTGCAGAGAAGAAAAATACAGGTAAGGCTGCCACTTGTTGGCAAGTGCTGCAGCCTGGTACAACGCTTGGTTCTCTGAGTCTGTGGTTTTTTTCCCTCTGAACTTTGTGGTTGAGAAACTAGTCAGCAGCACTACATAAAAGCAGAAAGAGATTCTGGAACTTACGCATGAGGGTATAGTCTTTGGAAACCCAGGGGCAAGAATTTAATGAGTCTTGTCTGCTCCACATCGCGTTGTGGTTGTCCTGCATAGCCGGAATTTAACTGCTCTCTATCTACTTCAATCCAGAGATGAAAATACTGATTTCTTCCTTTTAGATTTTAAGATGACTAAAGCAATTTTATTATGAATTGAAAATCCCTCTCCAGATCAGAGGAGTAAATAAAAGGGGGAGGATTTTTAGGTAACCTTGTCATGAACCGATTTTAAATGTTAAATACCTGGATACTGTAGTAGCAGAGATCCATAAGACAACTTTGATGAGATATTAGCAAACATGGACAAAACCCTTAGCAAATTATAGAGGGGTGTGAGAGAATTTTTTTTTTTCAGAAAGCACACACATCTACTCCTTCTTCTATAGGTATTGATTGTATTAGAAAAGACTATTTGGAGGGCTTCTGCAATAGGAATGGGGACAGGGAAGCATGATGTGGACTGAGAATTTTGTTAAACTCAGAATGAAATACTGGCTATTAAAAATCTAGCAAGAATTGTAAGAAATTAGGCATTAGAAACTGATATGTGTATATAGAGTCCTTGCTCCACAATAGGATGTATCAGTTGTTCAATGGTAAGGAATTCAGAGAACTGGTGAAAGAACTCAAGCACCTTCTACGTTATGGGATTTCAAGCGGAGACCATTCAGAGTTATTGATCAAGAACTGTTACAATCATTAAAAAAAATGCTCATGCTAGTAAAATAACAATAATTTAGGTTTATTCATGTCACAAGTAGTAGTTGTAGTGCTGACTAATGCAGGTAAGTTAAAATCTTTTCATGGATTTAAATCATGCAGTTTTCACTGCCTTTTAAATAAACCCCAAATACTCAAATAGTTATACATGATTCCTACTTTTTGAGATCTCAGCCATGTGTCCTGTGGGGTGAACAGGGAAGGACACTAATGTTCTTTTCTTAAACAATATCAGGGCACTTTTGTATCTAACAAAGCTACTGCAAAGATACTGTTCATTCATTCATGGAAGACCAAGCCCTTTGGACTTCTGGTGCAAGCCTGAAAAGAAGATTGTGAGGTCTCTCATGGCAGGAGAGATGAAGGTGGGAATTGTGAGAAGCCAGGAGGGTAGGCAGTAGATGCCTGGGCCTGTCCTGGCTAGAAGTAACCTATGGGGCAAAGTGCCTCCCACAGCTCTGTGAGCATTCCCAGGGTGGGAGTGCTCAGCACCACAGCATTCTGCCCAGAAAGCCAAGAAGCAGGAAAATGAGAGTGGAGGAAAGATAGCCTGATGCTCATTTTTAAAGTGATAAAGCTTGCAGCAAACACATAATGTGTTGGAGTGTCCACTGGCTTCTGACACCTGTTGGATGCTGGTACTGAGTAGCAGGTCATTCATCCCAGCCCTGGAAAAGCATCTCTGCACATATGTCTGTTCAGCGTGTTGCTGACAGCTGCCTGCACATTCTTCTTATCACACTTCAAAACTATAAATTAGATCAGAAGTTAGTGCTACAATGATATTTATAGGGGAATTTGATTTTTTTGGTCTAGCAAAGTTAATAGGATACAAGGCAGGGATCCAGCTTTCAAAAACGCATTAAATCCATTTTATAATGCTTTTAGAAAGGAATGGATTTGAAGCAGAGAGAGCCTTGACATATCCCCCAGTTGTGTTTGTTCCTCTAAACAACCATTAAAAACAGGCCAGAGTTGGGTTTTTTTGAGCAAGTGCTTTAGCTCTTCTGTGTTATTAAGATTACTAATACAGGCTGCTGCTGCTGTATCCAGAAAAAAAAAAAAAAAAAAACCAACACAAAAAACCAACAAAGCAACACATTTTTTTCAGCTCTTCCCTGAGCTTCTTATAACAAGTGCTGCTGATCAATTAGCTAGTTCATTAAAAAGTTACACATGATTTTATTGAGGCAAGCAATTCTGAATCAAAGAACCCAATTCGCAGATCTAGGTTGAAGCACATAATTGGCATGTATTTTAGGATTGCTGTTAAAGCTATAAAATAGATTTACTAGGGAAGGAATGGATCCAAAAACCCTTAAGGAAGGAATATATTATTTGTGTGACTCAGTGTTACAAATGGACTCATTTAATACTAAGGTCTTACCTACATTAAAACAAAAATTTGAAGTAAATGTAAAGCTTCTTTGATTTAACTTCTTTAGCAAAAAGTTATCCTTCATCTGCTTAAACACAAATTACATGTGGTATTATTGCATTTCTTATGCTATTATTTTCATTATTTTTATTAAAGATATGTTTTTATTAAATCATTTAAATTTACTTGAGAAGTTGCCAATGTGTAAACTGTAAAACAAAATTATATAAATATGTTCACCATGTTGTTGAGATCCACGGTGAGTCTGGTATTAAAGTCCCAATTCTACAAATAGTTGTGTATGCATGATTTAGTGGAGAACCTTACATATGTGCAAGTAGGACATGTTTGAGCATTTGCAGAGTGAAAGAGAGCAAAGCGCATTATGCAAAGGATGTTTCAGAAGCAGCAATATTTTGTTCTGAGTTTACAATAGGACAGATCTTGAAATTCAAGGAAAAGAGTTTGGTTTAAGAAAACTTTATTTTTAAATACTTGGAAAAAGATATTTATTGGGGAGTTTATGCAAGATTTCTTTAAGAGAAAGAAAGCTGGTTTTGGTTTTGAACTGAGAGACATAAAGAATCAAGTATTAAATATATTAAAATGTGCATAGTGACTACTTTCAGTTATGATTTTGATTGCTTGACTGTCACACTGTAAAAGCTTCTGTAGCTGATATTGCTGTTGGACTTTGTGTGATGGCATTGAGGCATTTTTTCAACTATTAGCCGTCCCAAGGGTTCTTTTCAGACAAAATGTTATGCATCAACTCTTATTTCAGTGTAAGCCTATTGAATAGCATTCTTCTCCCTGCCAACTTGGCAGCAACTTCTTGTGCTAATAAAAGAGGTTACCCCAGATAGAGATCCCAGATGTGCCTGAACTACTTTTATTAGGACTATGGAGGGACTTAGTGTTTCCTTCTAACAGTTTTCCAAAAAGGTGTGGGTTTGCCTTCATAATTGCCCAATGAATTGTATTACATCACTGGATTTTTTTTTCCCCTCAAATTGAATAAAATGTTAGATGTTTAGATTTCTGTTAACACAGAAATACTGATGTTCAAAGCAATTAATGCATTTTGCCACAATACAAACATTGATTTGACCCTACTGAGTTCTGTGAGAGGGGAGAATATTGCTGTTTAACCTTGAGTTAAGAGCACCTTCATTTCTTATGTAATAATGAGATTCAGTATCATAATTAGAATAAGTAACAATAGATGTTTCTCAGAACAGCAGCATACCTGTGGCATATGACATACTTGACTGTAACACGAATTATTTCTTAAAACTGTTGTGTAGAATTATTATTGTGCTTAGTGATAAAATCAATGTATTTTTTGCCTGATGTGGGGCCACTGTAGGCTGGAATAACTCACATAATTTTTTTTTTTTAGTACTATATGATAATTAACATTGTAAAAAGAAATGTTATTGTTAAAAATGTATTCTAAACTTCTCTGTAGTGTTTACTTGTATGTGTTGGCTGTAGTTTTAAAACTGAAAGAAATAGGGTTCTCTAACTGAGATACTTAGTAAAATAATACAGTTTTTAAACATGCTGTTGCTATTCATAAATCATAACTAATAAGATGTTTACAATCTTAAATCATAATCTTTATTTTACTTTCAAGGCCATAAGCTTTATATTGAAATTTTTATTGTTGTCAAAATGTGAATAGAGAAAATAAGGTTTTAATTAGAATAATTCATTACTTGCTTTTATTGTTCATCTTATTATTGAATTTTGAAAAATAAATGGTGCTCTAATTTCTGTTCATGTCTCAGCTTGATTTTTGTTATAATTTTGTCAGATATAAAAAGGGAAACACAGGATAGTATTCCATTTTAGATTTTCAAAAACAGGATTTGACTTGAAGACTCACATTAGTTTCAATAGTCTTTGGACCAGGCACAGGGTTAACAGCTTATTTTTCAAACAACTAAAAAGAGGTGTAAATGTCAAAGGTGATAGCTATACTGTGAGTTCCATAAACTACACAAAAAGTTACTACTAAAGCTCTATTTTTCCTTCGTTTAACAGCTTCTATGAAAACAGTGTTAATAAGTATATCAGGAACAGTATATAATAATGAATCAGAGACGTAAAAAAAAACCCTTTAAAACTCCTTTTATATAATAATTGGAAAGTTAAAAGTGACTTAAAATCCCTGACTTCTCATGCTGTGATGTAAATTGTATTTTTTTTTAGGTTCCAAATTCAAAGAGGGAAAACTGATCCAACCAGTTACAAGAGCCTGGGGGACTGTTTTAGGACTATTTTCCAATGAGAAGGGTAAGAGTATATGTTTTTAAAATTGTCAATTTTATGAGACTTTTCTTAATCACCCATTTTCCAGACATTAGATCCTCTTTATGTTCCAGTCTTTCTTTTTTTTTTTTTTCTGCAATTGCCAGAATTTACAAACATGTAGTCTTACATAATGAGCACAATTTGAAAAGTCTTAATTAGTCTTAATTAGACTCACAATGTCAAATTTTGCTATTAGGGTATGTTAAAGATCAGAATGCACTGCTGCATAGAGACAGTAGTGCAAACAGTGCTGCAGCACCAGGAGCAGGATGGTCACATCAGTGTATTTATGTATCTAGGCTCTTCTGTCTTCTTGTCCTGGTTTTCAGAAGTAGCTCAGCCTGAGCTGTCACCAGATCAGTGGAGCACTTGTTTCCAAGCTCTGATAAACTGGCATTCCCAGTTAGCTGTGTTAGACAATGTTTCCAGGATCTGGGTGAGCAAAATTCCACAGCTTTTGAGTTTGACACAATATGGAAAAAAGGTTTAAGGTCCTTATTTACCTGAATTGTACTGCCTTCAAAAGGTACCGCTGCTCTAAGCCTGAGATCCTCTAAAGGACTTGGGTTCTGATCCAGAAAGGCATTTAAATATAGGCTTAATTTTATGAGCAGTCCAGTTAAAGCCAGTGAATGTAATTGAATCAATCATATGCTTAAAGTTAAGCCTGTTATCCACAGGAGCTCTTTGGGAGCTAGCCTTTAATCAAGGTAAGTCTAATTAGTAAATCCCAGATTTGAGTAGCTGGCAGGCTTTCCATAAACTTCGTAAATACAATAGCAACCCAGTTTTTATCCGTGTATCACAGAATCACAGAATCAATTAGGTTGGAAAAGACCTCAAGTCCAACCTACAGATCAACAAATCGAACCTATATATTCATCAGGATGGAACTGTTCATGTATACTGTGGCATAGAAACTGGGTATGGAGGCAGCATAGGTGCAGTGAGGCGCAGAATTCTTGTGTCCACAAGCTGTGCTGGAAAAACAAAGGAGAGGTGAGCAATGAAAATTAATAACTTGACCAGTTTTGTTTCTTGCAATTAAGCTTAGCTGAGCTGTATTACATAAGCATATACATATAGAACTGGATGGTTTGAAATGACAAAGTAGGGAGATGCAGAGAAGCTTTGTTAAGGTGTTGAAAGAGGTAGGTGTCACATCTGCCCTGACTAGTGGTAAATTCATTTTTGTTGAAACGTTAATGTTATGTATTATCACTCTAAGGCATTAAAAAGCTTAAAAGCTAAAAAGATTTCACAAAAATGGTAATTTTTGGCTTCTGAGGTTTTCTAGGCTGAGTATATGTTAATATTTGTTGCTTCTCAAAAATACTAAAGTAATATTATTTACAGTCATGTAAAACTATTTTTAAACACAGAACCAGTTTTAATATTTAATTCAGTGATCATGGGAACAGTATTTATCTCATCCAAACTCATTAGTATTTTTATTTTGTTGAACGACTCACAAAATGTAAAATTAAGGTTGGGTAGACATATCTGGAGAATGAGTCTAAATCAAGAGACAGCTTCCAAGTAAATTTATTGTTCATGGTGTTTTCTCCTGTAGAATTCTTGTGCCCCAATACTGGAACTGAAATAGAACATTTTTTTAATATTTGTATCAATTCGTGAATCTCTGAGCAGGAAAAAGCAGGTGATAACATGAAAATATTATACATTTAAATCACAATTTAACAGTGTATTGCACAAAACTTCTGTGGGGTTAGAGCTAATACAGAGTTTTACTTGCCTGTTTCAAAAGCAGTCAATACTGACAAAAACAAAAAAGCAAATTTTATGACTACCAGTTTTTCTCCAGGAAGTTAGACAGAGTCAGAAAGTCAGGTTTAAACAGTCATCAATAGTAAAAATTAGGAAAAAAAGAAGATAAAAAAACTTAGATAAAATATAATTTTAATTTTGGCTAAAAGTAAGAAAAATAATCAGCTAATCCTGAAAAACCTATTTGACTCCATGAGTCTTGCTTTCCCATCTATAGTTGTCTGGTTTTCTGGAGCACGGCAATTATGACAGTTATGAAGGAAGTTGGAGGTGACTGAATTATTTTAGTAGGGAAAACTTGAATCCTGATAACCCTTTCCTTGGGTGACCACAAAATTATGAAAATGAGAGGACCAAAAAAGGCTTCACACCTAGATACTAAGCAAACAAAAACAGTTTATGAGGTATTTAGATTCAGGTGTGTAAATCTGTGAGAAGGATATAATAAAATTCATCTGTGTCCCATGGTTGTTTCATACTGGCAATATGAAACACCCCCATTGGTGTGTGGCATTTGTAGACTGATTTTTTTGAAATATCCAAATCAGTGTACACTGTCTATAAAGAGTTTGGGCATTCTTCTCCAGTACTCCAAATTCCTTTCTGGCATATGTGATTTTATGTTAAATTAACAACCAAAAAGAACCTAATTAAACAAAGAAACACAGTGGGAAAAGAAGTGTTGTTAATGGCCTGCCCCTGAAAATGTTTGCATTTGGAAATACTGCTTATGCTCATTTGTACTTACATTTTTCAGTAGTAGCAACTACAGTAAGCGAGGATGTCAGAGCCCGGTTCAAACAAGACCCATTTATAATGCCTTAATTTGCTGACCTTCTTATGTTGAGTTTAAGTATGCAGCCTAGGAAGTACTTATTTTTATGAACATATATGCAGATATTCATTTGCTGCAATGCTTCTTACTGAGAATCAATTAGTAGTATGTTACTACAGTATCACAGCAGCAATCTGATGATTTTATGGAAAGCTTCTTCATCACAAATAATGTCCAGGATTCTTTAACCATCCTTCTGATTTTCTTCTCATTATAATTAAAAGAACAGAGCAAATATTTACCATCTAACCACTAACAGAATACTGTCCATTTCAAAGCATGAGAAGACTCCTTTATCTATACAAAACACTAGAAATCTTCTAACCAAAAAAAAAAACCACAGGAAACAAAAGCCCTAAAAAAACTCCCTTCTCCCAAACCTTGACCAGCTCTTTAGATTGCATAAATTTTCTTCATGGGAAATTAAATTCTTCAAAGGATCTATCCCTTGAACTCTTTTTTTGTCTTACAAGAAAATAGGAGCCACAAAACATAAAATTTAATTGAGACTCACTAAAGGAAGGCTAAGTCAAGTAGAGCATTAAAGGTCACATAGTTTGCTATTAAAGGGAGGCAGGAGTATTAACTTCAGGGCTTTTGCAAACTTGTTTTGGGAGTGTCCAGTTGCTGCTAATTGCACGGGGGCTGCAGCAGTGTGGATCCTTGCAGGTGATGAGCGGCCTCTGCTCAGCTGGATTTGCTAGGAGCCGTGCAGCCGAGGTGCTCCAATTTCACTTATGGGATGATGCATGAATTGACAGATCTTTGACAGTGAGGTAAACCCACCAGGAGCATATCTGTTTATTGAGGAGTGACAGCTTTATAGCCAACATAAAAATAATCTGATGTTTATTGGGGAATCCTGTTTGGATACAGGATTAACTGAAACCATTAATAGAGAAAACTTTTCATTCATTTTAGATCCTTCCAATAAGAGGTTAAGTTGTGTTAAACAATCAATTTTTATATGATCGTGATCTTTGCTGCTCTTGTATTCACTTGCTTTTGCTTTCCTAGTCACTTAGGTTGGAATATGAAATGTAAGAATAAACCAACGTTCTAGTTGAATGTATATGTTGCATTTATATTAAAGACACATGGTGTTGTGTCTCATATTAAGAATAGAAAATTATGCCCATCTGCACTTTCTTAATTTGGGGTTACAGCATTAAAATGATGGATGCTGTTATTTCAAGTCTGTAAACAACTTTGTTCTTATAAATTTGGATTTTCGTGGGCTCATGATTTTAACAGTAAATGTTCTGGCTTATAGTTGTCTTTTTTGGTAGGCACTTGGTCAAGAAACCTGTTATTTTCCTGTTCATTTGTTAACTTGCCTGGAATAGACAGGATAGTAGTGTCCTGGATTCCAGTTTTAGAGTTCAGCATTTGAATAAGTTACAGTTTAAAGTGCTTCTTAGCCTTTCTTAGAAATGGATGGTTCTGGGAAATTGCAAGACACAATTGTTGTTGATTATTTGAGACTTCATTACTTCTGCTGAGTTATTTGATTGTATTATTTGGTTTGGGAAGGAGCAATTACCTCCACATTTACACAGCCCAATGGTTTTATAACTATTTCTTGTTTTCGGCACCACCTTACCACTCTCGTGTACCTATAATTGTCTGTATGACCACACACACCTTTTTTTCTCTTTTTTAATAAGCAGCACCCTGACTCATACATTAGTGGGATTAGGTTATAAAGCTGCACAAAACTTGTCTGTATGGGTGGGGTAGGTGGGAGAACAGCCAAGACTAAATAGGAGCTGGATGAGTGCAGAGTCATCAGCAAACATGCAGAAGCTGGAGGGTTCCTGGTTTATGTGATATTAGCGATTGTTCATCAATTAAGAATTTGCTAGCACTCTCCTTTGTTCTGCCTCTATTCATCGACTCTGTCATGGTAACAACTGGTTGAGACTTCAGCAGTGCTCTTGAGGCCTGGTTCTCCCAGCTGGCTGCAGATAATACTCTGCTGCTTCTAACTGCCAGCAGGTCAGGGAAGGAGACTGGCAGTCTTGCAGACAAGCACTGGCCTCTGGCACTCACCATCATCATCACTGCCCATTCCTGGGGCCCAGCTGGACGTGTGCTCTTCCAGCTGAGATGAGGAGACCTATCATAAGGCTGCCAAATAAGAGTTACACAAGATACAAATACTTGGCTACACTGCATCTGAAGCCTTCAATAAAATTGCCAACCAGGGAAGTGTGACATGGTCAGTCATGCCAGAAATTCCTTTTCCCAGTGAGCATTTATGGAGATTCATTTCCACTTACTAGAGCTTTCATGTGGTATCAACGGACCAGACTTTCGGCTCTGCCTTCAGTGCTCTGAGGCAAGAAGTTGTAGATTA